ACCTGATAAAAATCCAGCCCCAAGACAGCTGCTTCGGTGCATGCCTGTAATCTCAGCACTTGGGAGGCTGAGACAGGAGGATTGCTTCCAGTTCAAGGCCAGTCTGGGGTATATAGTGAATTTAAGGCCATCCCAAACTACACAGTGAGACCTTGTCTCTAAATCACAAAAATCAAACCCAACCCAAACCAGGTCCAAAGTCACACAACTGGTGGGCAGCAAAACCCACCTCCCCCAACTCCCCAGGCAGGGTTCTTTCCTCCCACATGGCCACACCTCCCTTGCCCTCAGGGGCTCCCCAGCCCCCCAACACCACAGCAGCCCTGAGAACGGGAACTGGGGTTGCGGCCACCCCACTGTGGGGCACCCCGCATCGTCCTTGCTTCAGCTTGAAGGGCAGGGTCTTGGGGGACAGGGATCCGGGCCATCAGCCCCACAGAGGGAAAGAGGCAGCTGGGACAGAGCAGGACCTCCAGGTACTGTGCCCGCCAGGCCGACTTCCCGTGTCTCAGTTTCTCCCCGCTCCCCTCTTCCCACTGATGCCTGCCTGCTCAGTCAGGGCAGGGAATCTGGCATCTGTCGCCCAGGGCTGTGTCCTGGTTGAAGGATGGAAGGAGGCTGGGATGCTGGGCCTGGCTCCTCCCCAGCCCAGCTCTGTCCGCACAGGTGGGAAGGGACAGGGCTTGGGCAAAGGGCCTCTCTCCCAGTTACCATCCCACCCAGCCAAACTTGGCCCGAGGCAGATGTGGCGCTGTCCTTGGCTGGGGAGGTGTGGCCCAGAGGGTTTGCACAGGGCCCCTTCTGAGAGAAGGTGAGGGTTAAAGGCAGGGAGCAGAGGGCGTGGCTTGGGCTCTTTTCCATACACTGCCTCCATGCTGCCAAAGCACTTCAGAGAGAGAGTGACAGGCAGAGGCAGGGGGCTGCGACCCATGCAACCCACGGTCCCATGCCCAGTTCCATTCCTCAATGTGTAGGACAGCCGACTCTGCCAACCTTCTCCAAGAAATCTGAGGGAAGCCAGGCTTGGCGGCGCATGCCTATACCCATCACCCTGGGAGGCCGAGGCAGGAGGATCACAAATTTGACCCTAGCCTGGGCAACTCAGTGGTTTAGTGAGACCCAGTTTCAAAATCCCTAGCTACTGGGGATGTAGCTCAGTGCAAAGCTCCTGCGATCAATCTCCAGTACCAAAAAACAAACAAACAAGCTAACAAACAAAACAGCTGGGCATGGTGGCCCACGCCTGTGATCCCAGCACTCAGAGGGCTGAGGCATAGGGGCTGGGGATTTAGCTCAGTGCCACTGCACCTGCCTGGCAAGCGCAAGGTCCTAAGTTCAATCCCCAGTACTAAAAAAATAAAATAAAATAGGAGATACAGAAGGCTGAGGCAGGAAGATTGTGGTGGGTTTGAGGCCAGCCTGGACTATATAACAAGACCTTCTCTCAACAAAACAAAACAAAAGGGCCAGGGATTTAGCTCCTCGAAAGTACAAGGTCCTGAATTCGATCCCTGATACCAAAAAACCAAAAAATCTGGGGGGGGGGTGTCTTCAAACCCACAGGTTTCTTCAGACTAACAGCCAATACAGACAGCTCCGTATGAACTAAGCACTATTTAAAGCATTTTATATACTTTAACTCCTCTAAAGGTTTAAAAAACCCCACTAAATAAGGTAGACATTATCACCCCCAAGGTAAGGCAGGAGGGAAGCCAGTTCCTGTGCTTAAGGTCATACACCTAGCAAGATGAGGGGCTGGGATTCAAACCCAGGTAGTCTCTTGCTCCTCTGCACCACCCGCCAAGCCAAAGCTGGGGTCCTCATGGGGCCCTCCCTAACCATGATAACAGCTGAGCTGCTGGAGGACAGCTGCATGTCCCCGGGACCAAGCCTCAGTTTCCCTCTCCGTAGCAGCCCATGGAGTCTCCACGGTGGACTGGTTCCTGGGGCCTCCTTATCCAATGGGCGGAAAGGGGGCATTGGCCAGACATGGGTCTCCTGCCCTGTTTGCCCTCTCAGAGCTGCAGCTGGCACTGGCGGGTGGAGGGCCTCACTGGCCCCACACAAATGAGCAGCTGTACCCGTAGACCCTGGGCAGGCTGGGCAAGAGGGCCACAGCTGTTGGGCAGCTCTGAGGTGGGTCTCAGCTGCCAGAGCTGTGAAAAAAGGACACTGGAGGTCCTGCCAACTCCCACCACTGCCCATGGGGACTGTTCTTTCTTTTTTCTTTTGGTACCAGAGATTGAATTTGGGATCTTGTGCCTTCGAGGCAGGAAGGGGAACCACTAAGCTAAATCCCTGGCCCCTGGGACTGTTCTTTCCTATGCTTGGGTCAGCACTGGGGGGACCTGCACACCAAGGGCTCCCCCAGAACTGCTGCCCCCTGGCTGGGCCAGGAGTGGACCCCCCATCCCCAGCCCCCTAAACCTGCTGGGCAGCCACAGCTGCAGCCCTAAGGAAGCGAAGGATGTCCTGCAGCCAGCTGAGCCCCCCTACCCCGCCCCCCAGCCCAACCTCCCGCTGACCCCAGAGGCGGGTGGGGCAGAGCTTGAGTATTAACAACTGGAAAAGTATGAAGGACGTCGCCGCCGCCAGTTCCCAGCTCTGAGCAAAGAGGCTGCAGCAGAAACAGACAAGGGCAGGGTGAGAGGGAGTTACGGACTGGCAGAGAAGCAGACACCCCAAGGCAGAGGAACAGAAGAGCAGAGAGAGATTCTGAGTCAAAAATACTCTTCACTCACGCAGACACTGGCAGCCTCTAAGGAAAGCAGTCAAGTGTGCACAGGAGCTCCCAGGTGGACCAAGCAGAGGACTCACGGGAGGGGGGCCAGAGGCTTCAAAGGGGGGCGGCGGAGGGTCCCCGAAGGGAGAGGCCCAGGTACATTGACTGGGGCAGGGGCAGCTAGGTCCCCGTTGCCTTTTAGGGTAGGAACAAGAGCCAGGCTTGCTAGAAGCCAGCTCTTCCCAAGACACCCCCTCCCCCAGCCAGAAGGACAACCCCAGCTGCTGGAAGCCACTGGACACTGCTTCAGGCCCATCACTCGGCCCTCTGGAACCCCCCTGACCCGGTTTGCTCTTGTTTCTCTATCCCTTCGAAGAAAAAAAAGCCCACCGCCCCCTGCCCTGCCGAGTGCAAACGAAGAGGGCAGACGGAGCCGGAGGGGAAAGTCTACATGCACCTCCGGGCACGCCTGACCGCTCCAGCCACAGGGGTCGGACGGGCACTGCCCTCAGCTGTGCCCACCGCCTCACACAGGTGTCCTCCACCGGAGTCCATGGGAGGGGCGCAAACGTATGCACCTGTGTCTGGAGTTCCCACAGCCAATCAATTAACAAGTGTTTACAGAGCACGCCCTGTGCTAGGCTCGGGTGGGATCCAGATCTCTGCGAGTGCTTCTCCCAGGGCTCAGTCAGGGAGCTGACGTCTAGAAACTGGGAGGCAGGAAAGCAGCAGTGAGAAAGACTGTGTTCTGGGGAATGCGTGTCTTGCAGCAGGATGCAGGAAAGTATTATCATACAGAGGAATTTGATTTCCTCCTGGGGGCAGGGGTTTTGTTGTGTACAGAACCTCAGCGTTCCACAATGAGAGTCCGAGAAAATACCTGTTGCTCTGTTGTGTACACAGGGGTTGATGTGTAGCTGCATTTGTGTTCGACGGAGTGACAGCAACTGTCACGGCGGGCGATGAGGACTGCGTGATGGGGCACATGTGAGCACATGTGTGCCTGTGAGTGACACGGTCTTTTGTAACGGTGGGGCTGTGTGCACGCATGCATGCGACAGTGACTCTGTGTGGGTGACAGCGACTCCTCCCTGCCCCTGCGTGTGACGGCATCTCGGGGTGACCCTGGGCGTGAGTCTGTGCACCCACGCCTGCTGTCTCCGTGGGTGTGTCCTCCCCTGCCCCTGTGAGCTCCACGGTGCTGCAGCCTGCTTCTTCCCTTGTCCCTATGTGGGTGTGTCCAGAGCTCCTGTCCTTGAGTCTGCCTGGCCTGCTGTCGTCGTCCTCGTCCTCGGGTGTGCATGTGGCTGCCCCCTCATCTCGCACAATGACAACGACTCCCTTCATCCCTTCCCCCTCCTGGGGCCGGGCCAGCGTGGAGGGGCAGGCTCCCCAGGCGCTGGCTTCCCCCTGCGCCATCCCCCAGTGGGGGGCTCTTTCCATTGCGCGTCACCCTCCAGCCTCCTTTCACGCTGGACAAGGAGGGTCCTAGGCAGAAGGGCAAGGAAGGCGCTGCAAAGGGTGGGGGCACGCATAATACAGGTCCATTTCTCCCTCCCTTCCCCAGCCACGCCAGCCAGCAACTCTGCTGATCATCTGGAGCCCATGGCGCGCGCGCGCGCGCGCACACACACACACACACACACACACACACACACACACACCGCGCGCGCGCACACACTGCCCCCAACACACGCACACGCACACGCGCACTCCCCCCACCCCACCAGCCGCGTTTTTGCAATTAAGAGTGTTGCAACCAAACACCCATGCTCCATTGGGGAGGGGAGGGGGCCTTCCTTCTCCCCCGAGCCCGGGCAGCCCCCCAGGTCCCCCTCTCCGCCCCCGCAGCTGGAGGAAGGTTTGCAAAGGCCACTGGCGCAGGCGGCCGGGTGGCGGCGGGGGGGCAGGCCTCCAGCGCACCGTAAACAAACCGCGGCGGGGGTGGGGGGCTCCGGCCGCGGGCCCGGCCCGGGAATGGGCAGCAGCCCGGAGGGACAGAGGCCGCGCCGGCCTCGGCGGGGGAGCCCGGACGCCATCGCGCCTCCGGGCGCACCCCGGGCCCACCGCCCTCCGCGCCGGAGCTCCCTCCCCCACGCCGTAAGTTGCAAGCTCGGGGGCCGTGACAGGGTCACCGGGGCGCCAGCAAGGGCTGAGCCTGGCAGCCGGGACCCTCTGGGCGCCCCCGGCCCCTCCCGCGAGCCGGGCCGGGCCCCGCGGCTTTGCATAATCCATCGCGACATTTGCATATTAATGCCCCCCGCTCCCTCTTCCTCACCTCAGCTTGGCGCGCGGGCCCGGCCGGGCGGCAACGCGGGGTCTCAGCGCCCCACGCCCGGGGCGTCCATCGGGGGCCAGAGGGGCCCGGGCCGCCCGCCTCAGCACCCGGTGCGAGTGCGAGCGCGCGGGGGGCGGGGGGCGAGTGCGGCGGCCCCGCGGCTCCTCGCACAGGCGGCGGCCCGCAGGCTCCGCCCTCCCCGCCCGGCGCCGCGCCGTGGGCTCGGCCGGCTCCGCGCTCCCGGCCGACTCGCGGCTGCTCCCTGCAGGCCGCGCCGCCGACCCGCCACCCCGCACCCACGGCGGGCGGCTGCAGGGGGGCGGGGGGGTGTCGGGGACGTGCCCGGATAGGTGCTTCAAAGCCAGCCTGGCTTGCAGGGAGCCTGGGGTCCCGCTGGGGGCTGCACCCTGGGGCGGGGGGAAAAGGACTGGGGAGCCCCTGCACCTTTCAGATCAGGGAACACAACCAAGTTCCGAGCGCTCGGAGGTGCGGAGTTTGTTTCGGAGCTCCGGTCCCTTCTGTGCCAGGAACTCGCGGTGTGACCTTGAGCGTATCCCCACCGAAGTGCTCGGGTAGAGCTTGCTGGGCTACCCAGCCAGGGCCAGCAGGTGACTCTGAGGTCCCCTTGACTGCACTGGCTTAGTGCTTAGTTAATTCCCCTGGGGCCCCTTCGTTGTTCCCCCCTCCCCTCTCATCAACACTCCATCCACTGTCTCCCTTCAAAACCTCACCCCTCTTCCTACAGACTCTTCTTGCTCTGCTCGCTGACACCAGCCATTTCCCCGGCAGTCTGCCTCCCCCCCCCCTCCGTGAGCTCCGGAGAAGGCACTCGCCCTGGCCCCTCATCTGCCAGCTCACGAAGGTGGCATTTCCTCCCAGGTGGGCCCCACCAAAATCCAGAGCATACCAAGGCCAAGCTAAGAAGGGTGGGCTGCATACAAAAGAAACCCCTAAATTCAAGCCTTGTGTAGTGGTGGCACATGCCTGTAACCCCAGCACTGGGGAGGCTGAGACAGGAGGATCACCCTGAGTTTGAGACTACATAGTGAGTTCAAGGCCAGCCTGAGCTACAGAGTGAGACCCTGTCTCAAAAAACCAAACCTAAAAGGACCCTTTCTCCAAAGGAGAGGACTCTGCTCGAGCCCCACCTCTCTACACGAACACGCGCTCGCGCGCGCGCGCGCGCACACACACACACACACACACACACACACACCCCTGTGTTCATGGACATAAAACATGCTAGTGACGCCAGAGCCCCTTTCATCTCGGGATCTCCTAGTGCCAGGCAGAGGTCTAATTACGCCAGCACCCCCCTCTGGCCCTGCCAGTTCCCCCACTGTCATTACCCCAGTTTTACCAGTGGGGGCCACAGCCTTCCCACGGCTGCCAGGGCGGGGCCCTGCCTGCAGTCCACCTCTGGGGAGGTGTGTGTATGTGTATGAGCTGCTGTACTAACACTTGGCACAATCACCGGCCCAGTGGAGTGAGGCTGCATCCTCCTCTCCACGTCGGCTGCCCTTGGACCCTTAGTTCTGAGCTAGCCACTTCCCTTATGGGGTGTGCCATGCATGGGGCAGTGGCGGGTACCTCTCTCCAGGGGCCCCTAGGACCACTAGGAGGAGAAGAGCAGGTAGGGTGAAATGCATGGGGTGTCCAGCTGTTTGGTGGTGCTGGGGGAGCCTGCAGTGTGGAGTCAGCACACAGCCAGCAAACCTGACTTCCGCCTGGGCCTGCATGCAGCGGACATGCAACAGCTGGGCAGTGGGGGATCCAGCTGCAACCAGGGCAGTGTGTGCAGTGGGAGGTCCACGGAGAGTGGCTGCCTGCCAGCGAATGCCACCTCATCCATGATCAGGGTTGCCTGCGACCCGGGTGAGCAGGGCTGCAGTGTGACGTCCTCAGGGGCCATGCTGTACCCTTTGTGGAAATCATCACTTGGCGGCCGGCTGCCAGAGGCGTTGGGAGCTGTCTGGATGCTCGAGGTGCACATGTACATTCTGCCTCGACCCAGCCAAGCTGGGAGGCAAGGGGAGGGGGTCCAATAGGACCCTGGATGGGGCAGGGCTGATGGGACCCAGAAGGACAAGATGAAGATGCTATTGTTTCCTCTCCCTGCATTCTGTGAGGACCACTTCTGTCTCTGATGCAAGGCGCTAGATATTGGGGTGGGGGAGACTTTCTGAAATCCCTCCAAAAAGAAACCCTAAATGCAGAGCTAGAAAATGCAGCATTTCCTGATCCACTTCCCCCAGCCCCATGCCAGGAGCAAAGTGAGCCATCTTGAACTCAAAGACAGTGTTCGGCTGCCTGCCTTCTCCTTACCTCTGCCTCTCTCCTGGGTTCCCACTATGGACCACTGACAGACCAGGGCAAGGGCAAAGTGAAGGGCTCTTGGCCTCTGGAGCAAGCATCCACAGTGGATGCCAGGACCCAGCCTGTGTCCTCGTGTGGCACCAACCCCTTCCCACCCCATTCAGCCTGCCCACCTGTTTCTTGAAGTGTTTAGCTCTTCTTAGATTCAGTTCATCCCAGCTCCTTTTCCCTCCTTGCTGCGAAGCCCTCCACCCAGGCTGTTCCCTCCCTTACCCACCTCTGCTTCAGGGCCCGCCCTGCACCTATGCGGGAGTGGAGGGTGGGACAGGAGCAGCACTGTTAGGGACCCTCCAAGAGGATCCGTCTGGCGGCCCCCTCCCCTGCGCTTCCATTCTGTTGCCAAGGAGGCAGCAGGAACAGCCTGTTCTCTGGGCTCTTGTTGGAGCAGCCACGGCCAGGCCCCTCCTTTCTTCCTTCCCGGCTGTTGCTAGGAGGCACCCCGAGATTTCTCGAGGATCTCACCCCTAAGAGCCAGGAGGTCTGGCTGACTTTTTTTGATACTGGGGATCAAACTTGGGACCTTGCCCTTTCCAGGCAGGTCCCGGAAACAATGAGCTAAATCCCCCGCCTGGCTGACTTTTTGCAGAGCTCCCCCCGAACAAGAACAAGTCTGGCTGCTAAGACCCCACACACCAATAGCACCTGTGCCAGGTACCTTTAGACATCTCTGGCTGTGTGGGGACACAGGGCACAGGCCTGGGCCTGGGCCTCAGTAACTCCCCTCCCTATCTCTTCCATTTCTGTATGTCCGGGTGGGCACTGAAGCCAGGGCCTCAAGCACGTGAAGTGTGCGCCTTGCCGTGAAGCCCACGGCCTGTGTCCCCCCAACCCCTGTCTCCTCTGGACCTCCTGGAATTTGGGTGACATCAGCAAGTGAGGAGCTGTTGTTGACACTCCTGTCTCCACCCCACTTAGGGGTGCTCTGGAAAGACAGCTGAGGAAACTGAGGTACTGCCAGCTAAGAGAACATTAAACCCGGACATTTCTCCCCTTACTGATCTCTCAATCTAGCAGAAATGGAAGCCAGTTGTGGTGACTACTCTGTAATCCCAGTACTCCGGGTGACCAAGGCAAGAGGATTGCAAGTTTGAGCCCAGCCTGGGCAATTTACAGACTTAGCAAGACCTGGTCTCAAAATAAAAACTAAACTGGGCACAGTGGCACATGCTTGTAATCTAGTGACTCCTGAGGTAAGAGGACTGCAAGTTCAAGGCCAGCCTGGGTACTTTAGTGAGACCTTATCTCAAAAATAAAATAAAATCGGGCCAGGGATTTACCTCAGGGGCACCACGCCTGGCTCGCAACCGAAAGGTCCTGAGTTTGATTCCCCCGTACCGGAAAAAAAATAAATAAAATTAAATAAAAAATAAACTTGGAATGCTGAGGCAGGAGGTTCCATCCATGTTCAACACCAGCCTAAGCTATATAGCAAGACCTTGACTAAAAACAACAACAACAACAACAAAAAACTGGGCTGGGGATTTAGCTCAGTGGTTCTGCTCCCTGCCCCGAAAGCGCAAGGTCCCAAGTTTGATCCCTGGTACCCACCCCAAAACAAACAAACCAAAAAAGCCAAAATAATAATAAATAAATGAATAAGGGCGGGGCCATAGCTGAGTGATTGAGTGCCTCTGGTTCAATCCCCAGCACTACACATAATGTAACAAGTAAATAAGTACAAATTTTAGAAAGAGCAGGGCATGTAGGTAAGTGGAAACACCCTGAGTTCATTCTTCATAAAATGGAGGAAAGAAAGTTGGAAGCAGTCAGTGGAAGTTGGGGATCATGTGGCTGGAAGAAGTGAAAACTGGGAAATTAGCAATTACCCCCAAGACAGTAAAGTGGCCACTTGCCCCCTACCTATCACCTTTGTCCCATCCAGTGCCCTGGCTATGGATTGGCAAAGAAGGAGCGACGGTAGGGACTGGACCTGCTTAGGCTTGCTTTTATTTTGTTTTGTTTTTTGGTACCGGGGATCGAACTCGGGTCCTTCCACTTTCGAGGCAGGTGGCGGAACCACTGAGCCAAATCCCCGGCCTAGGCTTGCTTTTAGTAGTGAAGGCAAGAAGTAGAAAAAGAAGCCGATATCTCCTCAGTCTGTATTTCAGGATTTCTCATACCTTTGTTCAATCTTTCACCTTTGTTTTTTTTTAGACACGATCTTTTTTTTTTTTTTTTGGTACCGGGGATCAAACTCGGGTCCTTGTGCTTGCGCAGCAGGCGGCAAAACCACTGAGCTAAATCCCCGGCCCTACAGGATCTTGATTTGTACTTTACACTGGCCTTGAACTATGTAGCCCAGGGTGGCCTTAAACTCTCAAACTTGTGGTGATCCTCCTGCCTCAGCCTCTCAAATGCTGGGATCTCAGGGTACATCACCACACCAAGTTTTGTGTTGTTTTCTTTTTCTTTTTTGTACCAGGAATTGAACTTGGGTCCTTGCACTTGCAAGGCAGGTGGTGGAGCCACTGAGCTAAATCCCTGGCCCTTGTTTTCATATTGAATACGTGCCAGGTATTGGATCCCCTAAGTGTTCATAGCCAGCAGGAGAGAGGGGAGGTGTAGGTGAGGATCTCTTCTACCATCCAAACTTTTTTTTTTTTTGGTACCAGGGATCGAATTCGGGTCCTTGCGCTTGCAGGGCAGGTGCTGGAACCACTGAGCTAAATCCCTGGCCCATCTACCATCCGAATTTGGGGCTCTCCAGCCTGCAGCCCTCCTCCTACAGTTAGAGGAGAGGACTGGGCAGTCCAGTGTGGTGG